ACCCGCGTGTCTAATGTCTCTAATGTCAAGGTTGTAGTGTGTAATGGTTCGAGCACCTAGTCCTGCGTTGAAGTGACAGGGTTCAAATGCAAAGGAATCTCCTAAATGTGGGAGAAATGAGTGGTATCGCGCGTAATTGCATGCACTGTGTGTGTTGTTATATATATATATATATAACAAAACAAACAAACATACAAACAAAGCATGTTTTCCGATCAAGTGTTCTATTCTTCGTGCTTTTGGAAGGTTTTTTTGTTTGGGAAAGTGTATTTTTTTAAACGGGGCTTTGTGCCTTGGATGGATGAATGATGAATGATCACATAAGCCTGAAGCTTATTCATTGTTCTCATTGTCTCTCTAATTGAAAATGATCTGTTTTATTTTACTCCAAAATTCACTGTACAGTGTAAATGTATATATTCAAATAAAAATATGAGCTAGAAATGAATAATGATTATAAATATAATTGAATAAGAAATCTTGTTGTTGTTGAGCTTATTATTTGTGATATATATTTGATATATTAAACTTTTTTAAACATTCACCTTCTTACTCGTTCAATCGTTTGAAAACTGCTATGAAAAGTTATATACTTCAGGCCTTTAACATTCTAACAAACAATTTGGTTTTGTAAAATTTGTCGTTACTCTTTGGTGATTGTAAGTGTTTGTGCGTACGTGTTTGTTTGTGTGTGTATTCAGATGTATTTGTGTGTATTTGGCTATTATATCAGCGTGTATAAGTGTACGCATTTTTTGATGTGATTTTATGTATATGTGTATATCTTATTTGTTTTTGTGTGTTTTATGTCTGTGTTCGTGTTTAATATTTGTGTGCGTGTGTGTAGATATTTGTCTCTACCTTTACTCGTTTGTATGCAATTCAGTTTAGGTTTTGGGCTTATCTTTATTTAACCGAATGATCAACGACTTTTCAATTCATGTTTTTGTTTTGCATGCAAGCAATGAACAGAAACACATGTTGCATGACATTTTTTTCGTTGTTTCGGTAGAAAAATCTTTCGTAACAAAAACATTTGCAGCAACATACATACGCGACAATTTTTTGCATATAGACTTTTTTCACTTGAAAGACTGAATGAAACTTGAAAAGAATTATAATCTAAAATTTTTCTATTTCCTTCTGAAAATTTCTTTCCGTGAAATGTAAAGCGACACACTCAATCATTGGATGGGCGGTTCTAAAAGTAAAAAAAAATAGGAATTCGAATTGAAAATTTGTAAACTTTATTGATTGGATGAAGAAATCCATGAAGAAGTATGCCGATGAAATTAATGTAGGTAACAGTTTACACTCACGCATACAAACTTATCGCAAAAACTACCTAAATACATTAGAGTTGATGGTCATTTGTTCTTAAGTTATACCCATGCCTGTACGTATGTAACTGTGTTTTAATAAGTGTGTGTGTGTGTTTGTGACACACCACGTTGTTAGTTGATAGTGTAAGTTACTGTATGTATTTATAATAAATATGATAGGATAATGTGTGTATTTATGTGATTGCGTGTATCAGCTGAACCTATTGTATATAAATAACCGCAATAACCGCTAGCTTGCGTGTGATGTGAATGTAGATAAGGAGATAAGCAACGTGTATTTTTCCATACAATGTGAGCATATTCATTGGTGTTTTATTGAACCATTTGCCGGCAAAGTTGAAAAAACGGGTTAGCTACATTTAAAATGAATTTTTTTTATTGGACTGATTTAATTCAATCTGGCATCTCAAGATGTGATTAATATTTTGCGAATGTAGCTACCTTAATAGCAAAATTATATGTATGTATGTATGTATGTATGTATGTATGTATGTATGTATGTATGTATGTATGTATGTATGTATGTATGTATGTGTGTGTGTGAGTGAGTGTGTGTGTATCTGTGTGAGTGACTTTGTTTGTGTGTGATTCAAGTATGGAAAGCATGCATCATTTGCTAAATTATTATTATGTTTATTAACAGCGGAAACAACTTTTGAGACAAATTTAAGAACAAAGTTGAATTAACAAGAAGAGGAGATAAACTAATTTTCTAGAGAAATAAATTGAAAATATTAATTTTCATAAAAAGGCAATGAAAATGACGGAAAAACATCATTAAAGAGTTTTCAAGCTGAAGATGGAAAAGTGTTTCAGATAGAGGAAGAAAAAAAATTTAAAAATTATTTGATGGTAGAAAATAATTTTCGAGAGTTGCAATTAATTTTAAAGTGTTTTAGCTTGATTGCATTTTGAGTGCCTCGCTGCCAATTTAAAAAA